AGATACAGAAGGGCGAAGAGAGGGAAGATACAAGGACTCACCAGAACGTCAACGGAAGTTTTTCTTGAAAACTTGAAGTGATTCCTTCCCCTAGGATGTTCAAAAGCAAGGATGGGTCTGCTGGCCTTGAGACTCCGGTGAAAGATTAGGCAGTAGACGACGAAAGGAAAGAGATCTCCAGCGAGGTTTCAGGCAAGGGCTCTCTGAAGAAGTTCGAAATGACAAAATGAGAGAGGGAAAGAGGAAGCCCATTTATATAGTACCCATCCCCATCATTTGGGCACGAAGCACTAAGAGGCGCATTTAATGCGCACGCCCTCCTAAGCAGGGGAAAACGGCTAGAGGCAATGATGAAGTAGTTGTGGTAGTTGCAGAACCCTTCGTCTCCTTACGACGCGTGTCCTTGGTGTCAGGAGATCGAAGGCTAGGGAGCAGTTGATGGGACATTTCCAAATACTCCAAGATTAAGACACGTGTCCTCGGCATTAGTATATTCTTGTTATTGTGATCACAACACGTACTCGTCGATTCATAAGTCTCTCTTCCCCCGAGGTACTGTTCATAGGGATCAACGACATCCAGTACATTATGTATCGACACATATCCCTCGGTCGGATATGGGGTACATCGGTCCATACATGTACCACTCCCTCGGTACTGAGATGTACCTGTCCAAGTTGGCATTTTCTGCTCTTGCAGAGGCTATTGATGTATAGGTCACTAGTCTAGGCTAGGCTAGGTTAACCATCATGACCTTATCTTACACAATTGGTGTCAGAAGGTACAAGAAGACAGAAGACGCAACCAATGGGGAATGGGCGTGTGGCATATTGTGTCAGATCAGAGACAAAAAGACCGAGATGCCCTTGCTGACACACGACTTGGGAAAACAAGCATTTAGTGCACTATTCCCTTGATGAGACAACATTTAATGCAGGAAGGCTCGGAAGTGAAAGGTAATAAATGTCCCTATGACTGGACATTTATTACATCCTTGCCGAGAAAAGCTCATTAAACACTCGGCAGGCTGACGACGAAGCATTGGTTGCTCAGGGTCCCGAACAGTTATGAAAGAAGACATTTCTCATAGGAATCAGTGTGCACGTTGCCTGTATCTAATGATCACCTACTGACCACACTGACAGTAATCATGAGTTTTTGAGATATAAATACTCCTCATAAAAGGCAAGACAGTATACAACAAAAAAGTTTTTTCTCAAAGAGGTACATAGTGTGTTCTCCTTCCCTTCTCTCAAAGAACTGACTTGATCATCGGAGGGGATACGCCGGAAAACACTCCGGCGCCCTCCTAACTCATTTTTCTCTGTTCCAGGAACCTCCCTCAGTCTTACTGGACCGCTCCATTGATCCACGAAAGTCATCCATTACCGTTCCAGGCCACCACCGGACCTCATAGTTTGTTCCAAGCAGCAAGATTGATCATTCGATTGACTGACTCGAGTTTACCATGGGAGAGATTTGTTCTCGTGTTTATATTGTGCAAGATCTTGCACACACAATCTTTGGCTAGTGGGTACCTCTTCCATAGGAAGTGTTCACTTATATGGCAGGGGGGAGACGACTTTCTTCCAATATGGAATTGTCTTAGGAAATGGTCCTATTGACGAAGAGAAATAAAGGTTACTGGGGCTCGGTGCCGCCAAGTCAATTGAAATCCTTCGAGTGGAGGGCTGAAATCCCATAGTGATTTCTACCCCTTACATAAAAGGTGCCTTTTTATGTAATTGGTTTTCTACCCCTTACACTAGAGTAAATCTGCATCAACTAATCCATGCCCTATGAAATTGGTTTTCAAAGCGAGTGCAATTTTCGGCCAAACAGGTAACCTTTACTGTTGCAATTTTGTTTTGTAGAAGTTCAGTTGTTATCAAAATGGATACATATATCTTGAAATATTTCGTGTGCACTATTTATTACTTCTATTATCAATTTTGGGTGTTCTTTACTCTTGTCCTTCATTTTTTTTTTGGTTTTTGTTTGTTGCTGTCTACATGTTTGATGATTTTCTCCAATGAAAACCTGATATTTGTATCTCATGTACTGTACATTTAATAATGAAACCTAGGTGTATGAAAACCTAAGTTTGCACCCCAAGTGTTCCGTTGGTTTCATAATAGATGTATATATATTGAAAGATTTTTTCTGTACTACTTATCAATTCTAGGATCAAACTTAGGTGTTCTTTATTCTCATCTTTCATTTTTGTTTGGCCTTGTTTGTATGCTGCCTACATGTTTGATGATTTGCTCCAATGTAAATCTGATATTTGTATCTCATATACTATACTTTTAATTAGGAAATTTATTTGAATCTGCAAATATGAAAATTTGTTCAAGAGCATGTTAAATCCTTTATAATATTGCTCACATATATTTGAATGTGGCCACCTGTTTTAAGATTTGGTCAAGAGCATATCAATGTAATTCTTTTTGTGGAAATATATAATTTTTTTTGTGGTCAAGAGCATGTTGAATTTGCACAATAACATCCATTTTCTTGCAGAAATTTGAACAATGTAGGCTGCTCCTCCAATAAAGACACTGAACAAAGTAAAGCGTGCTCATTCTAGGACTGGAGTAATCCTATATCATTCCAATGCATTTCGCAACTCCAGATATAATGCAGAGGTTGATTCCACGTCCGTTGACCATATTCAAGTTTCAAGAATAACTGTAATTTTATGTATGAAATAACGGAAAGGCTGAATTTAGAAGTTATGTTGTTTATGTTAGTATGTAATGAGGTTTAGTGGATCTTTCTCTAATCTTGCTAGACCATATGATTATGTTTTGATTAGAAGTAACTATAAGTATGTTTTGTATTCATTAATGTTTAACAAATTAGCTTTATATTTTTAGTGTTTGTAAGTAAGATAAGACAAAAGCAAACATATTATGTCAAACGCTTAAGCAACAAGCACCACGAGAAGGCAGTAAGCACAACCAAACAATACGAGCACTCAGCAAGCATGAATAGTTAGTTCGAAATCACTCTCAGGCGACAAGCACCACAAACTCCTAACTCATATTTACGTACACATAAATAACTCAGATCTATGTAGATCTAAGTATATGTGTATACTACAAAGTAAAAAAATTTACTTGAATAAGGACAATGGAGGCTTTAATCGAAGCAGATTTGGAAGACTTTCTATTCGATAGAGAGATGGGTGAGAGAGTGAAGATGATGGATGCTTGATTCTTCGGGTCTTCATCACACATACAGAGGCAAGAGAGAGCTTCCTTCTCCTTCGAGTCTTTGGTACATAGACAGAGAAGCGAGATAGAGAGATGATGGAAAACGTCTGGCACAAAGAGAGAGAAAAGAGAGGAGAGAGTTAATTGAGAAGAAATTTTTATAGTTCTACCAAAAAACTCTAATTTTTGCTGCTAACCGGGTCTCATTAAAATTTAGGAGCCACGCACCTTTGTTTGTGTTTTTAGGTGTTTTCAAAAACACATTTTTTTATGTTTGCATTTTTGGATCTAGTTTTCCAAAAACAGAGTACCTTAAAAAAAATAAAAACACATCCCAAACACATTTTTAATTTTTATTTTGACAAAAACTAAAAATAAAAACAGAAAAATAAAATAAAATCAGATGGTTACCAAACGTAATTTGTGCATCTCAAGTTCAAATCATAGAAAGTAAAAGTTTTACAAGTGTACATTAAAGTATTTAAATTTTGGGAAGTGCACAAAAAACTCAACTAAAATTTTAGAATTTCAACAAAGATTGAGGAACTCATCACCACCAAATACAACTTTCTATTTCTCCATCATTTTCTACACACAAAACTCTTACAACCACCAAATTAATAGTCATAATCAAGCTTGTATTGATCACCATTGCATCAGCCCCAGTGTATACCAATGGACGTAGAATCAACCTTTTTGCTTGTTGCTCAATATAGACATTGTTGTCCGCCTGGGTCTTTACTCTTTAAGGGAGGAGCTATGTACCAATGTTCAAAATTCCTGCGGCAGGAATGTAAGTAATGGACACGAAATCACTACTACAAAGCCCACACCAAATATCAGATTTTCATTATTAAATGTACAATACATGAGATACAAATATCAGATTTTCATTGAGGCAAATCATCAAACGTGTAGGCATCCATGATTGATGACCAAAAAAAAAAAAACCCAATGAAAGATAAAGAGTAAAGAACACCCAAAATTGATCATAGAATTAATAAATACTGTATACGAAATCTTTCAAGATATATGCATCCATTTTGAAACCAGCTGAACACCTACGAAACAAAATCGCAACGATAGAGTAAAGGTACCTGTTTGGCCGAAATTTGCTCTCTCTTTGAAAACCAATTTCATAGGCATGGATTAATTGATGTAGATGTACTCTAGTTTAAAGAGAAAAAAACTCATTGATGTAGATGAAGAGAGTAAACCAGAGAATGAAATGGAGAAGTGTCGTGTGCGATAGTGCTATGTGAAAATGGAGTAAACCATTTCAATGCATTGTTTAGCAATTGATTTTAAAATTTGAATTAGCAACGATGAAGCTGCAGTGTACAGTTCGTTTGGCAGCTGTCTTCTTAACTTGCAGAGTTAACGTTGGTTAACTTCTGTTAAAGGCATTTGATGATGTGGCTTTTTCTGACAAAGGGATGAAGTGGCAATTTTTTATTGGTTTTGCACACCACGTTAGTGCGCCACGTGGTGGGTTAAACCCACTCAAAATTTTCTCGCAATTTTCCCTAGAAAGAACACACATATTTATTTTTGGGCTCAGATTCAGCCCACCCAGCCAAGGCTTCTCTACTCTTCACGGATCAGCACTGTACTGGGCCATGGGTTATCGCTCAAGTGAACATACAAGGGAAAGTTTTGGGCTGGGCTACCGGAACATCGACGAGTCAATGGGCTTAACAGAAGACCGTTTTGCCGACCTACTCCTGTTCTTCACTGTGAATCAGTCCTGCTCCTCACACTTCACGAGATCACAGCTTAACGCTCTCTCTCTCTCACACACACACACACACACACATGACTCCTCCCAGAATCCTACTCTGTGGAGATGTTCTCGGCCACCTCAATCAGCTTATCAAGCGCGTCTCTTCGGTCTCTCTCTCTCTCTCTCTCTATGTTATAATCGAGGGTTTATATACTCAACGTCACTATTGACCAATCTATATACTGGATTTTAGGTTAATAAATCGGCTGGACCATTTGATGCTCTGCTCTGCGTGGGTCAGTTCTTCCCGGACTCGCCCGACGGGCTTGAGGAATTGATGGACTACGTCGAAGGCCGGTCCAGAATCCCTATCCCGACATACTCCATCGGAGACTACGGCATTGGTGCCCCGAAGGTTCTCTCGGCTGCATCAAAGGACTCGTCGAACCAAGGGTTTAAGATGGATGGTCTGAATATTTGTGACAACTTGTACTGGCTAAGAGGAAGTGGCAAGTTCAATCTTCATGGTATAATATAATAAAAACCTTTGTATAATCGTGCAATTTCTTATATTTAATTGATGCATATAGTTTTTGTGTTAAAAGTCCTTTGAATTGTGGAGTTTTAGTTTCTTTTGTACTCAAAAACAGACATACAGTTGTACCTCTAGGGTGTTGTTGAAGAAATGAAAATGACAAGTTATTTTTAATTTCTTTTTTGAAAGCAATGGTTTAAATCTGAATATAGTGTCACACTATTATGACTAAATCACCAGACTAGAACTCATTATACTTTCATGCCAAGTTGAAAAAGTTCATTTTGGTTTCGTAAATATTGGACAACCATGACCACATTAGGTTGGAGGACCCCAAACAGGATGAATTGGCCGGAAAAAAATGTCATTTTCATCTGCAGTCCATGGAGGAGTTAAATTGACAGGTCCTGAGTAAAGCATCACTGCATCTGACTTTGGGTACTCGTGGTTGGATTTGATTTGGAATTCTGAGTTTGTGGAGTTTAAAACCTCACTTTTACTATGGCTATTGAGTTTCACAGCATTTGAGTTGAATTCTATAGGAAGTGGTAATTGTTGCACCCTTGTGCCAAACGAGTTTGTTCTTGCTGGGATATGGTTACTCTAGTGTTTTATTAGGACAGATTGTTGGTTATTATTACCATTTATGATAACCAATTTTATTTTCTCATATCTAGGGTTATCTGTGGCCTACTTATCTGGTAGGCAATCGGAGAGTGGTCAACCCTTTGGGACATACAGTCAAGATGATGTTGATGCATTGCGGGCATTGGCTGAAGAACCTGGAATCATAGACATCTTCCTGACATATCCTTCTGGTTTTATAAACCCCCTAATCTCTCTCTTTCTCTCGGCTTTACATAATTAGTTATTAGGTAGTACATTACGCTTCATGGTTCCCCTCCTTAACGGGATATTACTAACGAATGGCCCAGTGGAGTCACCAATAGAGCTGCTACATCTGATGTTCCTTCAGGACTCTCAGATTTATCTGGTAGTGATTCCACAATATCAGAAATAGTAGCAGAGATTAAGCCCCGGTAAGGGATCATGGAAAATTACTTCAGGCCAGTAATCCTTTTTGGAATTTATCCTAATTTAAGGTTTCCAGCTCAACTTCAGAATACTGAGTGTACAATTCATCATTCATTAACTTTTATTGGATCCGTATTTTGACTACTGCTTTGCTTGTTTAACCTCCAGCTCCATTTATACCATAGGGAGCATTGTCTTCTTTTGGATGACTCTTTTCTGTAGGTTTCTGACATAGTTTCTGGAAACTCCATATTAAAAAGAAATCGTGACTAGGGGTTCCCTGTTATTTTCGCAACATTTTGGTAGCTGAAATGTTATCTTAGTTATAAACCCTCCTACCAACTTCATAAGCTGTACTAAATGACTGTAAATTAACCAAAAAATTGTGGTCATCCCCCTGCCTTTTTATGTAATTCACAATTCATCATCCTGGGCCCTACATAAAACAGAGTGGGAAAGAGGATCCGTAGCCATCACCTAGTTTTAGAAGGAAAATTGTATAATTAGGTAAACACTTGGTCGCACTCTGTTTCTCCTTTGTTTGAATGTACCAGTAGCCACTATTCTGCTGTATGGCTTGAGTCAACGTAGAGATATGACTTGTTTCCTGATGAAAGGTTGTTCATGTGGTAGCTACCACGTTGCAGGAACTAAAGGCATATTCTATGCTCGTGAACCATATGCCAATGTAGATGCTGCACATGTAACCCGTTTCCTAGGTCTAGCTCCTGTTGGAAACAAAGATAAACAGGTCTTGCTCTTATTCTCAACTTTTTCCCTAATTTTATCTGCCTGACGTAAGTCTGAAAATTTATTGATCTTTAATCCATTGTCTCTCCATTTTGTTTGACTTGATCTTTCTTCTAAAATTTTGTTTTTCTTTAGTGTCTACTAGTGTGTAGATGATGGCACAACCTGTGATAAAGAGTCTGTATTTAATGTGAACATCGCAGTAGTCATATTATGCAATTGGAGCAACCTATTTTCATATTTGAATTATAAAATTTAGCTGGTCCACTTTGATACCGTGAAAATTATTAAGTCCTTTTGTTACCCGTTTTTGTTCTGCCACTTATCTGCTGCCTTCTCAGCAGCATGTGTGTGCATTCAACTTTTGTTCTGGATCTCACATTGTCCATAAGAAATACTCTGCCGTTGTCCAGCTTTGCTTCTAATAATCACTGCACAGTGAATATCGAAACAACTAGTTTACGTGATGTTGTTCTTGTGAAGAATACACCTAACTTACCTTTCTACCTCTACTTCTATTACATATGTGTAACATTTCCTCCTTGTCAGAAATTTATTCATGCACTTTCTCCGACACCAGCATCTACTATGTCTGCTGCTGAGCTTGACATGAGGCCTCCGAATACTACTTTATTACCGTATGGATTTGCGGAGAAAACAGTCCATACTGATGGAGCAGCAAAGAGGCCTGGTGATAGTATTTCTGATTTGCAGTACTGGCGGTATGATGTTTCACAAAAACGGCAGAAATATGGAGATGGTGGTGGCGATAAGCTGTGTTTCAAATTTATATCTTCGGGATCTTGTTCACGAGGGGAGAAATGCTACTTTCGGCATGATGCAGATGCCAGCGAACACTATATGAGGGGTGTGTGTTTTGATTTTCTTAACAAAGGAAAATGTGAAAGAGGCCCAGATTGCAACTTTAAGCACAGTTTACAGGGAGAAGGTGAGAGATCCGTTGACAGAAGGCTTGGATCTGGGAATGTGGTCGCTAACAGGTTGGTGTTCTGTTGAGCTGTTGTTCTTTCTAATTTGTTGAACAGGTCATTTCTAATGCAAAGTATGTTGACAAACCTACAACTCTCCCTTTCCATCATCGGTTACTATTGTGCCTTAATGACGAGTTCAGAAATGAACGTACAGCTGGCGTTCGTTTATACATTTTTTTCGTCAACACCTGAAGGTTTGCAAATTATTATCATCAGCCACGGCTGTCCAGTGTAAACCTCTTTTCTGTTCTCTGTCCTCACCCATGGCTAAAACTTTTGGGTGAATCCTCCATGTATGTTGTCATCATCTCGAACTAGCAGTAGCCCCTACAACCCAACTACTGTCCCTTTGCAACAGAGAAACAAACTAAAACTTGACAAAAACGAGATCCACTGAGAAGTAAGGAAAATATAACAAATAAGAAAATGAATTATGGATAAGACCTCATTACACTTAATATTTAGCAAACAATACTGATGTTTGGGCATCTTTCTCCAGTTGAATTTGGAAAGACAACCAACGTCACCCTAAGGAGCATTAGCATTTGTAGTATTATTACAATATTTTGATTAAGATTATGTGATATACTAGTTGTCCTATTGAGCTAATTGAGCATGTACTACTGCAGTTTTGACTTTGTTTATTTTTTTCCTGATGCTTCTTTTCATTCCTGGTTGTGATAGACTTGGATGCTAATTATCAAATAACATTGAGTTGCAGGTCAAAAGAATGCTGGTTTTGTATGTCAAGTCCCAACATAGAATCACATCTAATCACTAGCATAGGAGAACATTACTACTGTGCGTTGGCTAAAGGACCACTTGTACCGGATCATATGCTGATAATACCTGTGGAACATTCTCCTAACACTCTTTCTTCATTGCCAGAATGTGAGACAGAGTTAGGTAGATTTCAGAACAGTGTCAAAGCATATTTCAAGAACCAAGGGAAGGAAGTTGTTTTCTTTGAGTGGGTTTTCAGACGAGGAACTCATGCTAATCTCCAGGTAAAAGAAATTCCCTTCGAATTGTTTTCCATATAACGGTGATACCTAGTTGGGATCAGAGATGCAGTCTTTTACACTTTTTTTTTTCATTTTTCACCTTCATGTTGCCACACGGGATAGTCAAAGAAATGGAATTGGTACATGAGTTCACTTTTTGCTCAATTTTGCCCTTTGGATGGGAGAAGAGTGTGTTATTTCTCCCTTCAGCACAGCAGTGAAAATAATGAATAGGAATTTACTACTTCTGCCACTGTTAAACTAGATACTTAATTTCCGTGGCTAATGTTCTAGAAACAATTTGTAATCATAAATTCACAAACAGGATGACTTGGCGAAATAGATTCCCATCATTTCCCAGCAGTCTATTATTTTTGTTAAAGCCACTAATTCTTAATGGAAGCTCTTCCTGAACATTTTGTTTATAAAGAACTTTCCAATTTGTTTAGTCACTTAAATATTTTTTTAAGTTAATATGTTCTGCATATTCCGACTCTATCCATGTTTGTTGCAGGTTATTCCTGTTCCATCATCCAGAGCATCTACTGTCCAAGATATTTTCAATTTAGCTGCTGAAAAGTTGGGGTTCAAATTTATGGTGGTGAAAAGTAAGCATTTTCTAGTTATTAATGTGGAGAATTGCTGTCCATTGGTTCCCATTTACTTGGCCTGTACAGATGCCCATGAAGATGCCTTTTTTCCCCTTCCATTTTTTTTCCCTCCTATGGTGTCTCCTATCTTAGCTTTACAGTCTTTTCTGATATGGTACTTTTTGCTCTAACTTGGAATAGAAGGAAACGTGATTATCAACAATAGTAAGCAAATGAGAAGATCAATCCCATTTTTTATTTTTTGGGGTGTGTTAAGTGGCTAATCTGCTACTGTATCTGCTGCAATTGCTTCTTTCTCTTTCCTCTTTTTCCACGACTATCCTCTTGAAGTTGATCTTTGTCAACTTCAAGTTTTTGTCTGTCCCATATTACCTGCTGTTGTTTTTCGTTCCGAAATTTCTTTAACTTGACCGTGGTTGATTTTGTGGTTCTCAACAAATGCTTTATACTTTCTGTATATCAATCCTATTGTTTCTTTGGGTTACAGGCGATAAGAGTTCTGAAGGGAGAAAACTGTTGCGGATGCAGTTTGATAGAAATTGCAGTTTATTCTATGTAGAGCTCCCTGGAGGTGCAATTCTGGCACATGCAGCCGAGGACAATGAGAAATTCCCTACGCAATTCGGTCGGGAGGTGAGATAGTAACACTCGACTGGTAACATATGGGAGATTGTGACTTCTTTACCTTGGCAAAATGTTTGAACATGTAGTTTGGTGATAAACAACACTGACTGAGTTATGGATATCAATTGTCTTTATTCACCTGCGAAACAATAAGTTGTCATCATTAAGGTTTTTGATAATAAGATGTATCATGTGCTTGAGGCTAGTGGCAAATATTAAGAAAACTTGCCAATCTATGAAGCACGGATACTTTGTTGAGGTTGACGTACCCGTATCCGATACCGTATCGAATACGATTTTCGTCGGATACTCGAGAATACGTATCGGATACACCTTCTATGTATTCGATAATAATTAAATATTATGATACTTCACATATACTTTTGTGGTCGAGCAACATATATAATTTTTGAGTTGGAACTTTTAACATCTCTTTTCGAATTCACATACTTCATTTTATGTGAATACCTCATATTACTAGTGTTTCTTAAGTATTATCTACAATTACATGTCAAAATAGCATAATATAAATCTATTACATTATTATCTTAGTAAAAATTACTTTTAAATATTAGCTTTGATTCTTTCAATTAGTCACTTCATTTTATGAATATACTACAACGATGCAATATATATTTTCTTGAAACTAAAAAAAATTACAAATTTTCCTTATTGTATATTAAAAAACTACAAAATATATAAGTATTAAGCTGGTTGAAAATAATAAAAATATTAAAAATATTTTATTATAGCCGTATCTTGGCCGTACCTGTATCTTACTTTTTTAGACTTTGCCGTATCACCGTATCTATATCGTATCCGTGCTTCATAGTTGCCAATTGATGCTTATTTGCCTTGTCATTTTAGGGGCAAAAATTTGCACCAGATTTTACATGTTTCTCTTATCATGCATTCATGAAACAGCTTTGTAAGTCATGCCATCAGTGAGAACTGAGACACTTTTTTGTTGTAAATAGAGAAATAAGGCATTCCGTTGGTGACATGGCTGTAATGATGGCTCACATGCAGCTTGATGGATAGTCAACATGTCCTGAATAGCTTGTATATTTGTGATAGTCAGCCTGGCCTCAGGTTGATGGAATTTTTTGAATAATTTGCACTATAGCATTGTAGGTTCTTCTCCTTTTTATTTTATATTCACATTCTTCTATTAATAAGTTTTGGGTAAAAAAATGAAGCGATCTTAAAGTTCAGCTGATGACTCGTCATTGGGAGTTTTGGCAATAAGTTGGAGGACAATATTGAACAATCCATTACAAATAATTTCAACACATGTTGTTTATGCCACGAGAGTCCCATAGAAACTTATTAATGATAGACTGTTGTTTTTGGAAATATTGCTTGAGATGGCTATATGATAGACCTGTTGTATTGTGTCGAACAATTTGTAGGTTTTGGCAGGCTTGCTGAACATGGCAGACAGGGCCGATTGGAGGAATTGTAAGCTCAGCAAAGAAGAAGAAATAAAAATGGCGGAAAGTTTCAAGAGCCGATTTGAGGAATATGACCCAAATCAGTGATTTTCATCACAGAAAGTATGGAATGTGAAATCAATATTCTGTGCATTAGACATTTTTTGCCACTCAAAGTGCTGTTGGATGCTACCCTTTGCTTTGAGGTATTGCCTGATTGCCTGTTTCTCAATTGTTGCCATCCTATACCACTGTTTAGCTCATTCACTGCCCTAATCTCCGGCGAACAGTTTGGACAAATATCTCATTCTCATTATCGAAAGAACGCCACTTCACATAATATCCACGTTGGCGTCCCCCACAGCCCTTGGATCAATCCTATCTTCTGAGCCAGATGCTATTGACAGAAGGTGGGCTTACTCAAATGGATCCTTTCGGTCCCCTTTACAATTTCTTGGTTTGTGTATGTGTAGCACTTCTTCTTGTGGGTCATTTTTTTCTTAGCTTACCTGGTTCCCATGCTTATAAGGTGTTGAGATTATCTTCAGGCTCAAAATTGTGCTTAGATTATTTGTCTTTTCATTTTTAAAAATGGTGTTCGACACGAGGACTTTCCAGGGGTCAGCAGCAATCCAGTACTACTCCTGCCCAAACAAGTTTAAACATGGGCAGCATCCTCATGGAATTTACAGCTTGTGGTCACACTCTTAAAAAGTCAAAAACTTGATTTTTGCTGTAAAGTTTCCTTGAGACTTGGGTTTGGAATGAGCCACCGACCTAGTGTGGGGATATGCTGAGTTAAATGTGTGGTCTCTTTTCAGCCTTAACAATACACATTCCTTTTTTTTTTTTTGGTAGTGGCCACATATTTAAATATCATTTAGTATTTTTTTTCTTTAAATGTTTTCAGTGGCAGATCACTTGCTTGTTCAAGTGAAACTAATCTTATATGAGAGGTGGGTCAGTTACTAGCCTTTCTTGTTAGAAAGTTGTCAATTTTAAAGAGTTTACTATGTCGGGCGGCACAAAAATACAAATGCACATTGCACAATTAAACTGTGTCAAACTTAGTAGGTTGATTTGTGAACAAGAAACGGCGCCCTAGTAGGAGAAAAGAATAAGTAGCAACGATTTTTTGTAGTTGGAGAAGAATTTTTAAGAAACTGTGTGCATAGTTACCTGTAGTTCACATTCAGGATTTGTGTTACAATGAAGGATTTGTATAAATTTAGACGTCGTGAATTTAAAACTTGATAATTTATTTGAGATTAGGTCAAAAAGAATTTATCCATGAATTTCTTAGTTTTAGTGTAAATAGTATGTCTTTGATCGGATCGGAGATGAAATTAATTGAGGTGCGTGTAATTCGATTCAACTACCCAAAAAAAAAAAAGAAGAGATGACTGTGGTACCACAATCTGTTTCATATCGAAATTGATTATAGTCGTGAATTTTAACTATTGATTGATAAAAAAAAAAAGAATACGAAGGACCCACCGGTGATCTAGATGACCCACGAGATTTATAATGCCTGGCCTGTCTACATCCTTAATAACGGTATGACTTGTGAGAAATCACATGGTTTCGGTAGGTTCCCAAAAAAAAGTGTAGGTATATTTCATTATTTCAGGTATAGATCTGCCCACGTGGGACAGTATTTCTGTGATGACTTCAACAATTAGGAAAGTGGGACTGTTTCCCTAAAAAAGAAATTAAACACGTAAAATTCTTGCCAACCAAACGTCCCACAAATTCTAATATCACAGGACATCACACCCATCTTCCTTGCACTACAAACAAACCTCACTCCCTCCCTCTTTATTTATCTATGTTTTCCTACTTGTATTTTACATGCAAAAGACTACACCATACCAAATTCTTAAAAAAAAAAAAAAACAACAACCAAAAGAACTAAGATTTAATCAGGTTATATTACAATTCAATTAAGCGAAGTTACGGGTTAATAAAGGTAAAAAAATGTATGATAGATTGTAAATTTTGTTTGAATCGATGTTCATAGACTTTACAATTTGTAACTCGTTACTCAATCCATTCAAATTATAACTTGAATCAATTAAGTTATGTCAGAATTTTTAGACACGGTTGTATTTTTTATTTTCATAGATATACATGTCAATTCAACTTTTTCATTGTGAATTGAAGGTACACTGTTTAAGTTATAGAAATAGTTTCTTTGCATATTGAGGTAAAATTGTATATCCCTCCTCCACTGACTTCAAGGTAGAGGAAGCCTTGTGCATTGACTGCCTATTTTTTTAACATATCAATTCAACTGTTATTTTTTTTAATATGCTATAATATTTACAAAAAACAGTCATTATTGTATTTGAAAAAAATACTATTGTGGTTGTTCACTAGGCATTTTTACTGAGCACTACTATCCCCCGGTTTTTCTTGATCACATATAGAGGTGGATGGGCTAGTTTATAATCGTGCACAGCTCCTTTGTTGTATCAAAATGACATCGGTTTGAGTGATGTACTGCGTAAGAGCAGGACCGTTTACAATGAAAATTGAGATGACAGTTTCATTGACCCTCATTTGGGAAGGGCAACGGTATCGGAAGAAGTATTGTACAAAAATTTATCTTCATTTAAGATTAAGTTATAATTTTTTTGAGGTATAAATTATAAATTTTAAAGGTTATGATCAATCATAATAGATTGAGATTGATAATGAAGTTATAATTTTCAAAAGTCAAATTACAACTCATAAAGGAGAAATTACAATTGCTCACGGAAATTCTATGATCGATCATATCTATTTGTGATCGATTATGATCTCCTCGATCATATATAACTTTTCTCTTTTAAATTGTAATTTTATCATAAAAGTTATAAGTGATAGTACGATACTAAAGACGGTATCATAAACTTTCTCCTGTGCATATATGCATGGGGGAAAGTTTATGATACATTTCCCCTATGCATATATGCACAAAGCTAATTAAGCACTTTTAGGCAACTTTTAGGTGGTAGTTTATCTTATGGAAGCCTTTTTGGGTAATAATGCTTAAGACCCAGGTCATCTTTTTTGTACATTTTTTAGGTCAATCTTTCTTTCGGATTCATATCATATTAGTGATTCATATAGACAAGTGTTGGTCCAAAGACAATGCTGCCCTCATTGGCACACCAAATAATTTCAAAAATGTGAGGATATTTTGGTCTTTCCTGCCCTCTCCCTCTTGAAAAGTGACCCTTCTAGAACCATTGAATGTTCATATGACCCTTTCCATATATCACATCTACCAACTAGTAGTTGATATTTATTGTAAATAAATTAATCTTTCTTTGTAAATATATTATACAAGAAAACAGTGTTTAATTTTAATCACACAGTTTCATCGTGCGATTATGTTGGACAAAATTTATTCTATAAAGTTTAGCTTCCAACACAAACGATCCAAAGGAAAGGTCGATTGTCAATTACCTTTCAACACAAGCCACAAAAAAGTCCACCTATAACTATGAAGTAAAAGGGGTCAAGCAACCCCCTTAAATAAACACTAGAATTTCAAACTCCAGGTTGGTCCACTCTCAATTACAAACTCTTCCAAACTTCTTCACCCACTAAACATTTGGCAAAAGTCCCACGTAAAAATATTAATCAAGCAGAATTTTATAAGTTTGAATTGAATTTATTGAGTTCATTTTTTTTAAATAAATTTAACAAATTATTCAAGTTTAACTCGTTTCGAAAATAAATCGAGCTCGAGTCAAGCTCAAAATGAGTTGAACTCGAGCCAAGCCCGAATAAATCTATTTTACATATAAATAAGTCAAATTTTGCAAGCTCGTTTTTATATAAGTTTAAAAAATTGTTAAACTCGAATTGAGTCATATTCGAAACAAGTCCAAATAACTTGACTTAATTATCAGTCATAACCTCTCTATCTTTATGTACGTATTTATTCTTTTATGAATTGCATATATATTGCTATAATCCTTTTTCTGTAGGGTTTTTCACACTTTACACACTAAAAGAGTTTAAGATTTTTATTTTATATTTTCAAAGATTAAAATTTTCACATTATATTATCAATGTATCAAAAGTGTTGTAATATAGTCCTTCTGTTAACTTCTGTTATTTTTTTCGTCAAAAGTCAATCAATTAACACCCACAAAAAAACTAATGAAAAATTAAGAAAAGAGTTACATTACAACAGTTTTGATACATTGAAAGTACAATGTAAGAAATTTAATATTTGAATATATAAAATAAAAATCTTAAAATTTTTTAGGGTTCAAAGTATAATTCATCCTTTCCTATATTACAGTAATCGCTCTTCTTTCTATATAATTCCATTAACCAATAAATCCTAGTAATATCTCGAGCCTACCAATAAACCTCTCTCTCTCTCTCTCTCCGAGTCCATAATCCATATATAAGGTGATAGAATAAAACTTTTTCCAATTTCTCGGAAATGAAAAAAGTTTACGAGTACAAACCGCCCGTCCCCTTCCGTTAAGAGGTGTCTGTTACTTACCATAAAAGCAGGGTGTTGTCTTCGTTCAGTTGTTTTCAGTTTTGCTTAGCTGGTCAGTTTTTAATACTCTGTAATAACTCACCTGTCAGTCGAAACGGTTGTGTAAGTAAGATGCCAATCTCAAAGCTCCAAGAAAATCATAGCTTGATTCTGCTCACACTTGGAGAAACTTGATTGCTTTGATTCATTTCGTAGAACCAAAACCCATTTTTTCTTGTTTGAAAAACTGTCTCTTCATTCCTTTTCTCTCACTATTTGTGGGTCTTCTTTAATTTTTCTAACCTTCCTTTTGTTGTTGCTTCAAGTCATCAGTCTTTTCACTTAAATAATATATTGGGTATTTTCATTATTTTATTTTATGTTCTAATCCTATAACCTATATAATCATTGGGATTGGGTTAGAGATTTTTGAGGCTTCTTCTTGATGGGATGGGTATGGTGATGCTTCAAGTTCTTTGCTTTGTGGGGAAAGTCTGTGCCATTGCTTGTTTATTAATTTTTCAAGGATCTGCAGGTAGGTCTTTCATTTTCACAGTTAAAATAAAGTTTTGATCTTATATGAATTACTTGGTAGCATATTTCGCCAAATTTTATGTGGGTTTGATGTTTTTTCTGGGTTGATTGATGTCTAACTTGCCAATGTTGTTTAATGGACTAACCTGCACATATGATGTCCGTTTTTTACGGATTTTTGTCTGATTGATTCCAATGATGTAAAGTGGCTGATAAACTTGAAATCGGGTATTCTGAATTTGGCATCTCTGTGATCCGAGCATGTTAATCTTCTTAGAGGATGAAATTGTGATGTGCATGAGCTTAACTTTTGTCACTGAAGGTCGAAGTATGTAGGTTCTTATGTAGATTTTTCCAGACAACTTAATTGGCTATTTCATATTGATCTATTTCACCAATTTCAGTAGTGTCTCAAACAGTACTTTTCTCCAGTTTCTTAGCTTTATGAAACCCAGATCAGGTTTCATCTGAGGAATGCTTTCGATTGAGGCTAGGGCTGTTAGTTGAACGAGTCCGAGCCGAGCTCGAAAAACTTGTTTCTTAATCGAGCTTAAAAAATTGTTCAAATTCGGCTCGTTTCCTAAACGAGCCGAGTTTGAACGAGCCAAAAACAAGTCGAACCCGAGCAAAGCTCGAGTATTTGCACATAAATAGGCTTCTTTTCTAAATAAGTCTAGAAACTTGTTCAAGTTCGGGCTTGTTTGGAAAACGAATTGAGCCTAAACGAGCTAAATTCAAGCCAAGATCGAGTAGTTCAGTTTGATTAATAGCCCTAATTGAGGCCCATCTGAGGAATGCTTTTCGTTGAGGCTTGATCTGAGCTGCTTGTAGTTTTTAAGGTTACCCATATGTTGTTGATGATGATTGCTCAATATCCCTTGAGCTTGGGCACATTTTATTCGCATATAAGATTCATGTGTCATCTCTAATTAGATTAACTTGTCCACACTCTGTTAAGAGAATTGTTCCTAAAAGTGACCTAGACAACAGATAGATGCATAGAGCTTCATAAGTGAGCTGTAGAAGCAAGCAGATTCTTAATTTTAGCTCTTTTTACTGCTTTGTTTATTCTTGTCTCCCTTTAGTAGATAAGCTTTTAAGCAGATTTTTTCTTCTTTTAGGATATGATATATCCCCCTCTCCGACAAGTCTTTCTGCAATTTCTCCTATTGGAGACAGAACGCCTGGTCATGTCATCCAAGATAAACCATTGAGAAGCAATACATCAGCTCCAGCATCTCAGCCAAATGGTGAGCTTCCAACATTTAATCGAACATACGATTACAGTTTAAAAAAGTTAATTTATGACTTGACGGTCCAGGCTCCTTTTTACACCTTCCACTTTTGTTGCCACCTCTCAAGTCTTCCCCAGCCCCCCAAACAAGCAAAGGTATTGCACCATCCTTGTCACCAAGTACTCCCACATTGTTGCCGCTAAACACTTCAGCTCCAACCCCTATAGCTTTTCAAGGCATCTCACCATCAACGCCACCAAGAGCGCCTCAAAGTAAGGATCCTGTGCTGGTGCCACAACCTCCAGGTATATGGCTTATTATGCTTATAATGTGACGTCCCTAGATTTCTGGTTGAAATTTTATCTTTTGTTTGAAGATGCAGTAACAGTTGCATCACCCTCGAGTAAGTCACCACAATATCCACCTGCCATTCAGCCACCCATGCCAGGATCCATGCCACCAAGTCCTCATCAAAACAAGACGCTGGCTCCACTCACTGTGCCAATTGCTCCAAGTACGTGATAATGGGTTGTGTGTTTGTTTTCCCATGATTAGATTTCTTGTTGAGATTGTTTCTAATGCATACGTACTTCTTTTGTTTCGGAATGCTGCGAAAATTGCATCAGCACCGAGGAATATGACACAGAATCCACCAGCTACCCACCCAGTCATACCTGGAGTACCACCATCCATTTTGCCTGGTGTGCATTATTGCAGCTATTACTGGTGCCAAATTTTAGAGATATCTCCAACTAAAATTTACCTGATATACATCCTATGACATAATACTGCAGTGCCTGTTGCATCACCTCCACTCAACTTGGCAGGAAATCCACCACCCATCCGTCCTACATTGCCTAAAGAACCTCCATCTAATTTACGAGGTGCTACTTAAGATGGTTTCTTTTCAATTTGATTAGTTGACATTTTATGGACCTTTGTCCAATTGTAACTCTTGACTACCTTGTTTGAGTCAAAACGAAATTGCTATGAGAAATTTTAAACTGACATCCTTGCAACTTCCCTCTCATTAATCCATATCGATCTGTTTCTCAAAAAGAGATGAAACTGTGAGAAAGGACCCCATGCCAAATATTTGATACTGAAAGAATGCTATTGCTGTCCCCACATAATTCGGATGGGCTTTCTTTTGTTGATTGTATGCAAGAACAAGATCGGGCCACTCCCCCCCCCCCCAAAAAAAAAAAAGAAAAAATTTCTGTAGAATTTAGAATCTCCTATTGTTGCAATTGTAATGACTAATGAGTCCATTTTACTTACTTATGGTCATTCTAGGATGACAACTAATTTTCAGATGCTGATACTTCCATATTCACAGAAGCTAATATACCTCAGTTTGACTGTTTGTTTGATTGGATCTGATATGGTGCTGCAGAACCTAGTATTTCTCCTGTATCAACTCCTTCACCAAGCACTACCAGGAACAGAGATGGCATGCCAGTTGCTGCACCTCCTAGTGGAATGCCCAGGCAGCATTCACCTGTGAACCCTTCTCCAAAGGATTGTATGTCAGAAAGCTGTCATTTTCTTCTTATAGGGCATGTTATCCAGCTCTAACCAAAAATGAAAATCAACACATTTGTTTTTCTTTTCCTGATGTAGCTCCTTCCACGCACAATGCCACGAGACACTCCAATATTGCTCCTTCTCCTCTTTCATTTCCCAAGTCTCCTCCGGCTACAGGGTTTAATTCTGCATCACCTTTACCTTCAACCGCATTTTACAGGCATCATCATGCAAGAAAACATATCACCAGCCCTGCTCCATTATCATATCTTGTTCCGCCTCCTACTTCAACTGAACAAGGTTGTACTTTTACTTGAGAAGTGTGGTAGTTAATGTGCTACTTATGATATATGCCAATATTCTGTGAAAGTCCACTCATCCCTCAAGCTCCTTTATATTTTCCTATATCAGATCCAAAGAATAACCAAATGCACTATGCGCCTCCACCCTTGCACCCAGGTATATGAATGCTTCAGAAATTATTCTGATCCCAGTCTATTCTGTAAGATCAAGTGGTTTTTTCCAATCTCTAACACTTCCTGTGTGGCAGGCTCTTCAGTCTCCCCATCCCATTTGCCATTTCCATCATCTGAGAGCCCTATTTCATCTGCAACCCCATCATCTCCAACAGCTCCATCTGTGCAAACTGAAAGTAAGAAAATCTCATTTTTCTCGCATTCATTTATAGGAGGGCTAGAGATATTCTTAAAGTTTGCTTTCAATCTGCTGCTTGATTGATGCTTCTCTATTGATCATTTTTGCATTTGCAAGTGCCCTTTTTCCCCCCCAAAATTTCTCCTTCTGTGTCTTCACCAAGGAATCCAAAGATGCCGCTCCTGCCACCAATTCAAGCACTACCACCTCCTCCGCCCAATGAAGGTAATAAGAACCAGCCTCTCTTTGCCGTAAATTTTGTATCTGCTTAATTTGTTAACTCTTGCTTTACTAACAGATCAATCTCTAACACTTCCTGTGTGGCAGGCTCTTCAGTCTCCCCATCCCATTCGCCATTTCCATCATCTGAGAGCCCTATTTCATCTGCAACCCCATCATCTCCAACAGCTCCATCTGTGCAAACTGAAAGTAAGGAAATCTCATTTTTCTCGCATTCATTTATAGGAGGGCTAGAGATATTCTTAAAGTTTGCTTTCGATCTGCTGCTTGATTGGTGCTTCTCTATTGATCATTTTTGCATTTGCAAGTGCCCTTTTCCCCCCCGAAAATTTCTCCTTCTGGGTCTTCACCAAGGAATCCAAAGATGCCGCTCCTGCCACGAATTCAAGCACTACCACCTCCTCCGCCTAATGAAGGTAATAAGAACCAGCTTCTCTTTGCCCTAAATTTTGTATCTGCTTAATTTGTTAACTCTTGCTTTACTAACAGAATTTTGATGTGTAGTTTTGTCCAATTTGTAGATTGTACCTCACTTACATGCACGGACCCATTAACTAATATGCCCCCTGGATCACCATGTGGCTGTGTCTGGCCCATGCAAGTTGGACTACGCCTTAGTGTAGCATTGTATACCTTCTTCCCTCTGGTTTCAGAGCTGGCTACGGAAATTGCTGTTGGAGTATTTATGCAGCAAAGTCAAGTTCGCATCATGGGAGCAAATGCAGCCAGCCAGGATCCAGAAAAGACAATTGTTCTCCTTGATTTGGTTCCACTTGGAGAAAAATTTGATAATACTACGGCTTATCTGACATATCAGAGATTCTGGAACAAAGAAGTTATTATAAAACCTTCATTCTTTGGTGATTATGAAGTTTTGTATGTGCACTATCCAGGTATATATACCAATCCTCACTTTCTTGGCTCATTTTTATGTTCATTATTTAAGTACTAGGTATCCATGTTGAAGTTTTGCACTAATAGGTCTTCCCCCATCACCACCTTCGGCACCTTCAAGCATTAGTATTATAAATGGTGAGCCGTATCCTGGTCATGACAATAATGCAAGTACCATACACCCCCTAGGGGTTGATGTGAGGAGGCCACAGCATAAAGATGGGTTAAATAGCAGCGTCATTGCAATAATAGTTTTGTCAGCCTCCATAGCGGTGATTTTATGTTGTGCAGTTGCTTGGGTTTTGCTGTTCAAACATAGAAACCGCATGTACCAACCGGAGCCAACTCCACCAACTGTGCTGCCTTCCCTAGCAAAATCCTCAGGTAATATCAGTAATTACTATTATAAACTAGTGCAGCCAGCTTCTGTATGTTTCGCGATGATTGGAGCCTTTAAAAGGGCCAATTGCCCAACTTAAACTCAAATATATGAATTCCAGAAAACCTTGTGGCTGGCCTATTTGGTCCTTATCCTTAGATATACCTGTGACTGTTCTTTCTAACCAATTTCTATGTTGATGTTTTATATCAAATCTACAAATGAGTAGTTAATATGCTTCTTGAAATTCTTATGTAGAATGCATATAGTACATATTTGGCTTAATAGCAAAAAAAAAACGTATTTGGCACTTGCCATGTGCTGACTGCTGGGTCTTTTATTGAGAAGTGTAATTAATCCCAACATATAAGAGAAAATATATATTGCAGGGATTGCTGCATCTATGATTGGGAGTGGGCCCAGTTCTTCGTTATCATTTGAATCTAGTTTTGCAACTTATACTGGTTCTGCTAAGACATTCAGTTCGAATGATATAGAGAGAGCAACCGATAACTTTAATGCTTCAAGAATACTTGGTGAAGGTGGTTTTGGTCGTGTTTATAGTGGTGTGCTTGAAGATGGGACAAAAGTGGCTGTCAAGGTACTTAAGAGAGATGATCAGCAGGGTGGTCGTGAATTCTTGGCCGAAGTTGAGATGCTTAGCCGCCTTCATCACAGAAACTTGGTTAGGTTGATTGGCATATGTACAGAGGAGCGCTCTCGCTGCTTAGTATATGAACTCATTCCAAATGGCAGCGTGGAATCTCATCTACATGGTATGAATTTGTATTTGTCAGCTTTGAGTGGATATTTTTATAAAAATTATCTGCAGAATGGCTGTACTTTTTTATGTTTTGCTTGCTTTCAGGTGTTCACAGGAAAACTGCTCCACTAGATTGGGGTGCACGATTGAAGATAGCGCTGGGTGCTGCTCGGGGTCTAGCCTATCTTCATGAGGATTCAAGTCCCCGTGTCATACACAGAGACTTCAAGTCCAGCAACATCTTATTGGAATGTGATTTTACGCCCAAAGTATCTGATTTTGGTCTTGCACGGACTGCACTGGATGAGGAAAGCAGGCACATTTCAACTCGTGTCATGGGAACTTTTGGGTATGTTATTTTTTGTCAAAACTTTTTGTTGCATTTTTCTTTTTTCTTTTTTGTTGCAACCTGACTCCATCTAATTCTCTGATCAACCCATCCTACTTCACTTGTTCACCACTTGAGGCAAGGCATAAGAGCAATCCTCAAATCACCCTGGGTGATACATGCTATTATCAGGTTTTGCAATGCATCTACATCTTGAATCCTGATAATTACATCAAACCTATAGTAAGAACGTGGCATGTTCACTAGCATTAGGAGGTATCTGATAATTTCCCCCGCTTTCAAGATGGGAGTGCATGAAATTTGCTGTTTCTGTTTGGGATTAAACTGGGACAAGGCCTCAAAAAATATCACTAAAGCCTGACTTACTAATGCACCAAGCAACGTTGCTTGCTTAGCCCATGTTAAATGTCATACAAAAATGATAAACACGGAACAAGTACAAGTGGCAGTCTTGACAAATAAGGTATGCAGAGAGTAGCATTTTTCCCAGTAGACACTAGTGATTCGAACAATTCATGGTCGCATGCCCAGATTTACGAAAATGTTCTTGAACTCCTGTTATCTGCTCTCTTGTTGGTGCCTTTCTTCTTCCCTTGTACTTTTTTCATTTTCTCCTTTTTCACTTTCTACATGTCTATACTTGTAACTTTTCTTTTGTTTGATGTTAAAATTAACCAGATATGTGGCTCCAGAGTATGCAATGACTGGGCATCTTCTTGTGAAGAGTGATGTTTACAGCTATGGAGTAGTCCTTCTTGAGCTCATAACAGGAAGAAAACCCGTAGACATGTCTCAGCCTCCAGGTCAAGAGAATTTAGTTGCCTGGGCACGTCCACTCCTCACTAGTAAAGAACTTTTAGAATCTACTGTAGACCCATCTCTGGGCCCTAATTTTCCTTTCGATAGCATTGCTAAAGTAGCTGCTATTGCTTCAATGTGTGTTCAACCTGAGGTATCACACCGACCTTTTATGGGTGAGGTGGTTCAGGCCTTGAAACTAGTGTGTAACGAGTGTGATGAAACAAAAGAACTGGGATCCAGAAGTTGTAGCCAAGAGGATTTGTCCATTGATATGGATGTCAGGATTTGTACCAATTTGGGTCACTTGCTTGATCCTTTTCAACCTCATTCTCCAGCTTCTAATTATGATTCTGGGCTTGATCTTGAGAGGGGGCTTTCGATGTCAGAGTTACTCAGCGCATCAACAAGATTTGGGAGGCAGGAATCTGAGACATCTAGGAGGTACTCAAGTTCTGGTCCTTTGAGAACAGGAAGGGGCAGGTGGCGTTGGCAGAGGATGAGGAGATTGTCTGGAGACAGTATGAGTGATCAGAGGGTAATATTCAGTTTCAGGCCTGGATCCCATTAATATTGTAATTTCCTTTTTCGAATAATGTTCTGGAATCTTTTTGGAATTTTCGATGAGAGCAGCCATGTGGTCATCCAAGAGAATAAAAGGGTTGCATGAGCTGGGGACTCATAAATGAGCTGAGCAAAGTTGTTGATGGGTGGTCAAAGAACTTTGCAGCTGCATATTTTGGACAAGTGCAAAGTCCACTACAAACTAACCTTAATAAATGTGGGATGTTATCGGGGAAGAGAGAGTTTTGATCAAGGCTGGCTGTCATCATCTCAACTTGAGGAGTCACTGACTGAATTGTATGATAAATGTTGATCCAGACATTCAGCCCTTACTATAGATCGATTGAGATTTGTTTAGGAGTGATGAAGAGCTTAGTTCCTGACTTGTATAGAACATGTGTTTGTACCATAAAATGCCTCTCTTCAGTAAAGCAATCTGATCAACTAGTTTGGATATTCATGTTTTTATCATTTCAGCCTCTAATGCAAAGATCCTAGAGAGGGACAGTTGAGAGAGAGTGCAAATGTATGTAGGCTCCAGAGGAAGGGAAAGGAACATTTTATGATAATCATACCATTTTATGACACAATGCAGAGGGGAGGGAAGAGCCAGCCGGTCCACCAGCAGATGATATGCGTTCTTTTCATTGTCAGCTCCTTTTTTTTATTTTATTTGAGTTGAAGAATCAATAAACTCGAGATTTAAGATTTAGATCTTCAACTACTTTTGAAAGGGTCTCATACGAGAGTCAATTACATAGGAAAATAGGGTGTCACATGGAATGGAATTGGTTCCGAGTATACAGAGTGTTGCTATGAACTTTTTTTTTTTTTTTTTGTTCATAGAGAACTTGGGATTGATTAGACTTTGCCGCATGAACTACAGTCTTGATTTCACTTAGCTCCCTCCAATTGTTGGAGTATATTACTTTAACTATAAAATCAACTGCTCATAAACTACTTTAGAGGGGTCGAAAATATAATTTTGCGTTCCACGATTTCAATTCCCCCTGATAGACGGTCAGAGCTTAACTTCTGCAAAATCTACGGCTTGAATTCAGTTTAAGAGGAAGACTGCAGTACTTGCTTGGGTGTTCATTCGAAAACTATAATTTTTTAAATTCAAGGTATATGGATTTCAAAATATTATTATCAATCATGAAAATTATAATTTTTTATATTTTAACTAATGGAGATTATTTTTATGTAATTAATCAGGTACGATTCAAACAAGCTATAACTTCACTCGACTATAAAACTAAGAATTGCAATGGATATTTCGAGTGATAACATGAACTAATTATAAATTCAAATATTTCGAATTTGAATATTGATAATTTTTTGGGGTCCAGTCATGCAAATTGTGCGGGCTTGATCCTGCACGATATATAAAATATTGGGAACAGATCTCTCCCCTGGTGAACTTCGAGTGAGCTGGTCGAGTGGCCTTGAGACAGCCTACGGGGTACGGTGGCAACCTGGAACGGTAAAGGAAGATCCTGGGAAAGGAAGAACGATCCTGTACGCGTGAAAGGTTTTCCTGGAACAAAGAACAAGTTAGAAGGGTGCCGGAGTGTTTTCCGGCGTATCCCCTCCGACGGTCTAGTCAGTCTTTGAATGAGAAAGAGGAAGGAGAACACTGAGGAAAAATGTACTGTAGTCGAGAGTTTTGTGATTGCATACCGGCTTTGCCTTTTGGGAGGAGTATTTATACCTCAGAAGCTCATGATTGCTGTCAGTGTGGTCAGTAGGTGATCATCAGGCACTGGTAGCGTGTGTATTGATTTGACGAGGAATGTCTTCTCTATTTGACTGCTCGGGGTCCCGAGCAATCAATGTTGAGTCGTCGGGACGCCGACGGTACAATATGCTCCTTTCGGGAAGGATGTAATAAATGCTCCGTAATAGGAGCATTTATTGCCTTTCATATCCGAACCTTACCGCATTGAATGCGGTCTCGTCAACAGAAGGGTGCAATTAATTGTTTGCTTCCCAAAGCGCATGTCAGCAATAGCATGCGGTTTGCCTGTTTTTGATGTGATATCGTATGCCACGCGTCCGTCACTTATTGGCTATGACTTCTGTATTCCAGCATGTTCTGACATTACTTGTGTAAGACGAGGTCATGATGAATAGTCTAGACTGGCATAGGCTGATGTCCCGTACGTCAGTAACTTTATCCGGGAGTAGAGGAAACGTCCAGGATGGAGTGACCCTCGGCACCGAGGAAAGGCTCACCTCGGGGGGACCAAGGGGTGGTGTGTTTCCGAGGTACATGGTGACCGAGGACACGTGTCGTTGTATAATGCACCGAATATGTGATCCTATATGAGAGGTACCTTGGGGGAGAGGACGCTTTTGCCGATGGTGCTTGAACCCGAGCAACATTGTTCTAGAAACCCCCCGAGGACACGTGTCTTCATCATAGGCTTTTCAGAAGAGTCCCATCAACTGCCCCCCAGCCTTCGATCTTTTGACGCTGAGGACACGCGTTGTCAGGAGACGAAGGGTTTTCCAACTGCCATCCGTCCTTCATTATGGCCTCGAGCAGCTTTCCCCGTCTTGGGATGTCGTGCGCATTAAATGCGCCGTTTTGGTTCTCCCGCCCAATGATGACAGTTTCCCCCCTATATAAAGGGGGTTCTTCTCCGGTTTCCATTGTTTTGCCATTCCGATCTCTGACCCAGAATACGCCTTTTCTGATCTGCTCGCCGGAGTTTTTGTTTCCTCAGCCATCATCGACAGCATCTTCTCTTAAAATCACAGTCAGTAAACCCATTGTTGACTCCTGGTCCTTCCGGTGCGAGTCTTTTTCAAAGTTTTTCCTGAAAAAACTCCGTTTCCGACGTCTTCTGGTGAGTTTCACAACCTTCTTCTTTATCGTCCTCCTAGCCTTCTTGTTTTCCGATTTGAACGGTGGTGTCATCCGGTCGGTACGTCTTGATTTAAACCCTCGGGGAACTACTTCCTCAGGTTTTCAAGAGAGAACACATTTTCCTTCCCTTTCTTTTAGAGATGCCTCGTCGTCGCCCTGTTCCCGAGAATCCATCGGCTGGTCCCTCGGGGTCAGGGAAATACAAGGTGACAGGCGAGGCGCAGATCGATAGGTTCAGGACGAAGTATGGCATCCCCCCGAGCGTGGACGTAGTGGGCTTTAACCCTTTGTTGAACTCTCCTACCTTCGGGGCCGCGGATGCCATGCCTTCTATACCAAGGCCATCATAGAGGGTGGCATTAGGTTTCCTTTACCCCCCCTGCTTCTTCAGTTCCTGTCTCGCTTCCGTCTCTTCCCCGGGCAATGCTGCCTCAACGTCTTTCGGATAATTATGGGGGTCCTAGAGCTCAATAGGCGCCTCGGGGTGAATATTGGGCTCAACGATCTCCTTTTCTGTTACTCCCTCCTAAGAGTCATGCCCCACCAACATTTCTACCTCAAAGCCAGGGACCCCTCCATGTACCTTGTAACCCATCTTCCTGACTCGGACAAGGGGTACAAGGACGACATCTTGATCTTCAAGGGATGTTGGGAGAGGGGTGTTGGTCCCGAGTACAATGACTTATTTTGCCCTCGGGAATGGAGAACGACAAGTACGTCGGTTCCTTTGGGTCTTTTTATTTGTTTCTTGGGACTTCTCATGTTTATGACAATCTTTTTTGTTGTGCAGATATTCCTTCTCGGGAAACAGCTCCACCCCCTCGGTCGCTGGTCAATTTTGCCGACTTAATAACGGTTTGGAGTTTCACGGGCGCCGACGGATTTGGCCGAGCTGCCCATAATCTGCTGCACTATACCCCGGGTATAAGAAGTTCTCACAACTCCCTCAACCTTTCGAGCCTTCGCAGTGGTCAGAGCTCTTTAATCAGGCGGCGAGGTTAGAGGTCGAGCAGAACTTGGAGGAAGACCCGGATCGGGCTTCAGAGGGAGAGGTAGAAGGAGTTGCTGAGGTCGGGGTCAGAGAGGACGTTGCTCCTTCGGACGCCGAGGTGGGGACTTCGGGAGGCGACCTGTGGCCGGATTTTCAAATTCTCCAATCTTTGGACGTCGAAGACGCTCTCGAGGAAGCGATGTCCAACGCCCCTCGCATCAATTTGGGGTTTCTTAGGCAGAGGCAATCCCTCGTAGCCGGGAGAGGCCGAGGGGCGACCGGCGGTACTCCGGCAGGAACCAGTTCCGCCAATTCTTCGAGGGCTCCCGGTCAGGGTCAGGTGCGAGACCGGGATCCTCAGGTGGAAGAAGAGAGGAGGGTAAAGCATCGGCATGACGGCCTCAGCCGGGGACCCAGGGCATCTCCCGCTCAACCTCAAAGCGGGAGGGATCGTGGGTTACCGCCTGCTCCCCCACAACAGCAACAACAGCAGCCCCGACAACAGCAACAGCTGCAGCAGCAACAACAGCAACAGCAACAGCAGACCCCTCCTCCCGTTCCGCCTCGGGGGGAGGCCGCAGAGTGGAATCCTCGAGCCACTGATCACATGAACAGAGTGATCAGGGTCGATGATTCTATTCTGTCGGATCCTCATGTCGCTAATGCAGTGAGTGAGACACTGCATTTCGAGGCCGACATGGAGGCTCATAGGGGGCGATCAACCAACGTGTTGTTCCGCTCCATGATCCAGAATTCCCTGGTGGTGAGTTTATTCCTGTTTTGATCCCTTCTCTCGTTTTCTATTTTTGTGTTTTAACACCCTTTCCTTCCTTTGCAGGCTACCCAGCAGATTTCTATCATCGCTGGCCGGTACCACGCGTCCAGGATGGATCTTCAGAGGGCCAAGGATCAGAAGGCAGAAGCGGAAGCTGCCCTTGCTCGGGCAACGGAAGATGTTGCTGCCAGGGATTCCACCCTGGTGGGGCAGGCTGCCCAAATAGAGCAGCTCCTCAAGGACGCTGAATCGGCCAAGTTGGGCGCTGAGAAGCTAAGTGCCGCACTTGCCGATGCTGAGAGGAGGATTACTGAGCAAACGCAGCGGCTCTCTGCGGCGGAGGAGAGGGCAGTGGGCTCCGAGGAA